ATAACCCTCCTAAAAAGCAAACAAAAGGACTGATAGACGAAGGAAGGGAGGAAAACTGTAGAAATTTACCCAACAAGAACGTATCTGCTGAGACAACAAAGGTCTGTGGGGTCCCTCTGGGCTTTGCCCTTGGCCCCACTTTACTCTGTTCGCTCCACCCTTGGTTGCATCATCACTCACCACAGGATTTCCTTATATGTTATGTAACTAGGCTAGTAAACCAGCCTCACCCGCCAGCGGCCAAAATAATATTTACCTGCAGTGGACTAGCCTCCATCAATGCCCCAGGCCCTAGAACTGGCGGGCCAATCACAACGCAGAGATGGGTTTTGGTCTGTAAGCAAAGCGGGCGGGGCTTCCAGGGCGTGATGACAAAGCTGCGCGACGCTGGAGAAACAGCAGCAGCAGCTTCCAGGGCGCTCCATTGGAAGTTAAAAGTTCTCTTTCTGTCGCTGTTGTTCAATAAGAGTAAGTTTTAAGATCATTTGAGGCGAGAATATTATACTTTAAAGCGTCACTATATGCTCCATTTACCGATTGAATGCGTAATTTAAAAAACGATTTCCGAAGTTGAGAGCAACGCGGCAACCAGCGGCGCTCCGAGGCTAATCAGAGATAAAAAACAAAAAATACCTGAACTGGAGACAGATGACCCACAAAAAAACAAAGATAAACCGCCTGAATGATGGAAATTGATCAAATAACAGTAAATACAAGAAAACAAGAGAACAAAGCACTAGAATGGAGGCTAATGAATTAGTTAGAGGCTAAATAACTCAGCAGGAAGAAAAGGATAGAAAAATTAACCAAAAACAATGTCAACCATGCCAGTGATTAGATGCCAGTGTTATGGACTCATCCAGTCAACCGTGGGGTCCCTCAGGGCTCCGTCCTTGGCCCACCCTTTCATTACTGCCTCCCAATCATAGCTTTATCACTCACCACATGATTTCATTTCACTGCTGTGCAGACGACACGTTCCTTTACATTAAAACAGACGCTTTAACTTTAACACAATCCATCTCCATGTACTGAAAAAAATGAAGCTTGGATAAACTTAAATTTCTTAATTTCTTAATCTTAATTTAAACACATAAAAACAGAATCTATAACTTTGATTCTCTGGGCAGAAACGTTGCCCTTCTTCTTCAGTTACAAACACAGATGCAGCATTTTGACCCATTTCTGCAAAACCTCCTTCTGCCGCCTCAAAAACATTTTAGGACTCAGTTTTAAGACTTTGACATTTAAAAATGCAAAATGCATTAAAAAAAGTTAATAAATTATTGTTATAATGATAAAGCAAACAGCCCAGTGACAGAACTGAAGCCTAAAGCAACTAAACCTGAAAACCCAACAAGGGTGTAAACATTTAGTGATAAAAACAAAAGATTAGAAAAAATCTTTAACCTACAGTAGATAATCATAACAATCAGAGAGTTTTTCTAAGAATGATTAACTTTATAGGCTCAGCAGCTTTTGCAGTGTTTGTTTTGGACCAGAACCTCAGAACCAAGAACCTCAGGCTCATTTAATTTACTTTGGAAAAAATTAAACAGGTTTTTAATTTGTTTATTGTTTCTTAATATCATGACAGCATGTAAAGGTCATGAGGTCCCAGAAATTCATCATCCTTCATTAAAACATCTGATCACAGCAAACTTTGCTCCTGTCATTCAATAAAAACAGCATTAAAACACGAGTCTGCATAAGAAGATGCTGAACTGATTATATCGTTGGTTAAGTTGATTAAACCTGTTAATTAAGGAGTAAAAGTGCAAACGAACCTGTGAGCTGGGAGTTCTGGTTCTACTGGAGTTCCTGCTCCACATTAACGGATCGACTGGGTGAACAAATATGAGCTGATCACACCAAAGCACACACAGCAAAGCACACACAGGCAGCAGCAAGAGAGGCTCTTCCTCCTCCTCTTCCTCACTGCACAGCCAATCAGACGCTCCTGAAACCGTTTTCTCATCATCTGGTCCATCGTCTGGTGGGACTTGCATTCAGGTAGCTGCAGCTGTGTGTTCGCGATCAGACTCCCTGCAGGTGGAAACATGCTTTTCATCCCCATCTTCAGGTTCTGGATCATTCTGGATCATTCTGGATCATTCTGGATCATTCTGGATCATTCTGGATCAGTTCAGAACCTAAA